CTCGCGGGGGTGGGGGGGGGGGGGGGGGGGGGGGGGCACACGCATTTTACTTGCATAGCAGACTTCATAGTGGTAGATTAGCTGCCCACTTTTAATGTTATCTTTGGTCATTCCCTACTCAATTCTTTCAAGGGCGTTACCTTAACCTACCATGTGGCTGTGAAGTTTTCGAGCGATGGGGAGATAATAACTGCCTGCAGTGATCTTGAGTAGTCCCACACCTACTACATTAGGACATTTGAAAGCATCCAACAGTAATCTCTTGAGCTCGACAATCTACAAGAAGGGAGCCTTAAGACTAGCGAGACCACTCATCGGATCTCGGCAACCCAAGGCGACATTTTTTAATTTTTTCTATTAAGTGAAGCATTTGATATAGGATACAGGAAGGCGCCGAACAACACCCTTCATAGCCATAAAGATGTTTTTGCCTACTTTATCGGCGAGATGCCCAAGATGCCAATCAACAAAACATGCGACCACCTGAACGTCAACTAGTTGCTCGATCAATGGAACAAAAGATGAGGACATTGACTGTCACTTTGGCTTAGCAAATCTAGGAGGTTGGAGGCCAGCTACATCCACGAAGGTGCAGTATTTGATGTGGGTATCAAATGTTAACATTGTGCAAAAGTCAAACGATATGTGGAGGATATGCATAGACTTCACCTATCTGAAGGATAGCGAATGACCATTCCATAATGTGCTTTCTTGACACATTCTCTAGTTACCACCAGATAAAGATGCATCAGACTGACACTGAGAAGACTACATTCATCACTAGCATGAGTGTTTTAGCATAATGTGGTGTTCTTTAGGCTATAAAATGCCGGCGTTACTTGCTAGGGAATGATGGATCTAATTTTTGTAAAACAAAAATGAAAAAATGTTGAAGTTTATGTGGATACGAGCAATATACGAAAAATCTAAATGAAACTTTCAATACCTTCAAAAAATTTAATATGAAGCTCAATTTGCTCAAGTGCATTTTCAGGGCATCCACAAGCAGATTCTTAGGCTATCTCCTAACCCTGGAGGGAATAAAAGCTAAACCCAAAAAAGTTCGGGAACTGATCAATATGTCCCTCCAAAACACTTTGGAAGTTCAAATGTTGTTTTTTTTAAACTTCAAGGCAAGTAAAGAACTTTGTTTGGTCGGATGAATTTAAACAAACGTTAAGAAGTTTAAAAGAATCCCTAGTGGCACCACTTTTTTTTTAAAGCCCAAAGTCAAAAGAAGAACTCTCCTTATACTTTGGGGTTGGACTTGATGTTATCAGCTCCGTTTTAGTTTTAGAGGAGCTAGCAAAGCAATTTCTGGTCTCTATGTCAATCGAGTCCACCGAGGTGTTTAGATTGGGTGTTCTATTATGAAAAAAATAATATTTTCTCTTGTTATTTCTGTTCTCAAGCTTCATTAGTATTTCCAAAAGCATCCGGTTAGGTTCATCACCGAACACCCACTCAATTCCTCACCAAACTGAAGCGCTCTGTTGGCTTCTCAAATGGGCATTAAAACTCAGTGAGTTGATCTCACTTACGTGTCTCAAACCGCCAAGCCATAGCAAATTTCTTGGTTTAATTTTCAGAGCCGAGCGAATTAGGCAAGGAAGTGGCTATTGATGGCCAAACCCACAGATTGATGGAGAGTCTAATCAAACTGAGGTGGGGCTTGGTCTTGCTCTGACAAATCCGACTAGGGATCACTTGTACACCTCGATATAAGTGGGATTCGAAGTTATTGATAATAAAGCCGAGTATGAAACTATAATTTTCAGGTTACAATTAGCCTTCAAGATGAGCTTGTAGTACATCCTGGTAATGTCGGACTCGCTATTGACAATCAATCGGGTAAATGAACAATTCAAGGATAGAGATGTGATGATGGTCAAATACCTCGACAAAACAAATACAATTATAGGGAAGTTTGAATGCTTAAAGAGT